TACGCGGCCCTTGTGGACCGTTAAGGCTGCAGACCCTGAATTGGGATACAGCCAATGACGCCACAGGGAAGTGAAACTAAACACACTGAACATGGAACACCAGACCTCTTCAAAATAAAACAGGAAACATTAAGACACGCAGACTTAAAATGACGAACCGAAGAGGAACATTCACTATAAACACACAGAGGGAAAAGGGGGCTGGAGACGAGACATGGAAACAGAAGATGACGGCTGGGGGAAACACAAACAAAGACATTACTGAAACACATGAAGAGCGAGGGAGACGAAGACACAAGGGGACTCTAATAAACAATGAACTATAACAGGGCAACCTGGGGGAAACAGAATGAGCTTAAATTAATTTAAACATAAATCATAAACCATCCAGATATATTGAACTCAAAGCACTGGGTCAACCAACCCAGCACCGTGACAGCGTCCTGAAATGCACTGTGAGACGTCTGGCTTACTGCAGCTAAAGTATAGATAAGTCATGATCAGCAGGATCCTAGTGAACCATATTATGGGTTCAGATATCTGTGGTCCTAAAGGTGTTGGTCTGCAGTAGCTCCTTCGCATACATTATGTTTATGGAGTGGATGCATGCCTGTAAGAGTGCTGTCATGATTAGCAAAACCAAGGGGACAAAGATTTCCTGAATTTAAAGGTCAAACATCCTGGAAATCTCATTACAGAAATGATGGATGATGAAGGTATTTATGACGCTGGATGATGTATGCAGAAGTAAACATCGTCATCCTCAAATGTATTGCATGTACATGTGGCCTGAAGATCTCTCTGTTCACAGTATACTGCACACATCTGTGTGTGGGACACTTAAACACTAAACTACAGGAAAGTGAGAAGCTACATGCAGCTTCTGAGGCCTCGTGCATGGTGGTTTTTACTGAACGGACTGAGATGCTTCAGGTCAAGACAAATTTTCGCAGCTGCTGAAAGTCAGCACATTTGATGCCTTGTTAAGATCTCATGTAAAATGTATTTGCAGGCTCAGATTTATTTGTGGGTTTAACAGTTATAAAGTTTGGCCCCACACAGCAGCCAGCTTCCTCTTCGGCTGTACTTTTATTTGATTTTTATCTTGTTTGTTGTGGTTTATGTGACTTTGTGTTTTCCACTCTGTCTTTAGTCCCTTTATCTCTCCTTACCTTTCCACAACTTTCTGAGTTAACCCGAGTGTAATCCAGCCTTCTGCCCTGACAGTGAGAAATCATCCACTGTTAGTGTGAGTGTCCATGATTGTGTGTCTCACCCCGAGCCCTCGGTCTTCTTTGTACTGGAGGAAGGCGTTGGTTGTTCCTTTCTTCGCCATGCGGATCCGAGCCAAGCGCACTTTCTGTTTGACAGAAATACAGGAATACAGCAGCGTCAGCGCCTCACACGCACACACACACACACACACACACACACACACTGTAGCACATCATCTGTCTCTAAACTCATAATTTTTCAGGTGAATTGCAATTTTTGCTGCAAAGCTCCAGTTTTCAGGCTTTAAAGGTGCTTTTCAATAAAACTTTATTTTTTCAGCTGATACAATAGAAGTCAAAGGAGCTTGCAGAGAAAAGCGTCTGGACTTCTTTAAGTT